GAAGCATTTACCAAACTTTGAAAACCATTTTCAAAGAAAAATTTATCAAACTTTAAAAACCATTTTCAAAGTTGGTTGCCAACCTTTGGACTTTTAATAGTGGGCTGTAAAAATGAAGGCATATTTAAGAGGTTCAGATCTTTGGGATGTTTTTGAGACATGAAATGATCCTCCACCATTAAGAAATAATCCGACGGTGGCACAGATGAAGCATCATGTAGAAGAGTGTGCCAAGAAGTTTAAAGCTTCATACACGTTGCAGTCACAGAAACAATATTCACCCATACAATGGGATGTGAAATGGAAAAAGAAGCATGGGTTAGACTAAAGGATGAATTTCAAGGGAGTGAGATAAAAAAGCATATGCAGGTACACAATCTAAGAAGAGAATACGATATGCTTAGAATGAAAGAGTCAGAGTGTGTTAAAGAATATGCAGACAGTCTTATAAAGATAATGAACTAGATTAGATTGTTTGGTGAAGATCTATCAGAGAAAAGAGTTGTTGAGAATGTGTTGGTTAGTTTGCCAGAAAAATTTGAATATAAAATTTCCTCCTTGGAAGATTTAAAAGATATATCTCAATTGTCTTTAGTTGAATTGGTTAACTCTCTACAAGCTGTGGAGCAAAGAAAAGCTTATAGACTTAAAGAAACAAGTGAGGTTGCTTTCTTGGCAAAACAAAAGGGGAAGACTCGAGTAACTTTTGGAGGAAAGAAGCCAACAGGGGAAATGAAAAACAAAGAGAAGAAGGGTGACCAAGGAAATAAAAACAAGGACAAAAAAAACAAGTTTCATACTTGTTCACATTGTAACAAGAAAATCCATTCAGAGAACTATTGTTGGTTCAGGCCTGGTGTTCAATGTAGACCATGTAAACAATTTGACCATGTTGAAAAACTATGCAAGGTCAAAACTGAGCAACAACCTTAACAAGTTCAAGTTCCTGAAAACTTCAAATTGGAGGAGGAAATTGCATTCATGGCATTTCAGCATGAAGAGTGTTGTGTTGCAGTAAACAAACTTGAAGCTTGGCTACTTGATAGTGGATGCACTTATCACATGGCTCCTCATTAAGATTTGTTTAAAGTGTTGGAACTTACAAATCAAGGGTGAAAATAGGTGATGGTAGTTTTTTCGAGGTAATGGGTAAAGGATATGCAGTTGTTCAGACTTCTTCAAGTACAACAATTATTTCAGATGTTTTATTTATGCCTAGAATTAGTCAAAGTCTTCTTAGTGTTGGTCAATTGCTTGAAAAAAATTATAACTTGCATTTTCATGATAGAATTTGTGATGTGTATGATAAAAATGGTGTAAAGATGTTAACTACTAAGATGATTGAGAGAAGTTTCCCAATAAAATGGAAACAAACTAAAGTGCAAGCTTTAACTTATGTTATTGGCCAATCAAGTTTATGACATAGAAGATTGGGTCACTTCAATAATTCATCTTTGAAATATATGTCCAACAAAGGTTTAGTAAAAGATATGACTGATGTGTGTCAAAACAATGCCATGTGTGAAGTGTGTCAAAAGGGAAAGCAAGCTAAGCTTTCATTTCCTGTAAATCAAGCATGGAGATCTTCAAAAAAGCTTCAACTTGTACACACTGATTTATATGGTCCAATGCGCACATCTTCACTAAATGGGAGCAAATATTTTTTAATATTCATTGATGATTATAGCAGATGGTGATGGGTTTCTTTTTAAAGCAAAACAATGAAGTGTTTGCTTCTTTTCAAAGTTTCAAAGCAAGTTTTGAAAATTAATGTGAAAAGAAAATCAAGACTTTAAGGTCGGATAATGGCAGTGAATACACATCACATTAATTTACAAGCTATCTTCAACAAGTTGACATTCACCACCAATTGACTGTTGCCTACACCCCACGATAGAACGGTGTTAGCGAGAGGAAAAATAGGTCTGTTTTGAACATTGCCAGATGTTTGCTGTTTGAGAAAAGGATTCCATAGGTTTTCTGGGCAGAGGCTATCAGCACTGTTGTATATTTATTAAATAGGCTCCCCACTAAAGCCTTAGAAGGAAAGGCACCCTTTAAAGCTTGGTTCGATGCTAAACCTTCAATTGGTAATATTAGAGTCTTCGGTTATGTATGTTATATACATTTTCCATAAGTGAAAATGGACAAGTTGGATGTAAAGGCAACTGTTGGTGTTTTTATGGGATATAGTTCCAACTCAAAAGGATAAAGAGTATTTGATGTGAAGACACAAAAGATCATTATTGGCAGAAATTTGAAGTTTGATGAGGATTCTATTTGGAATTGGGAAAAGTCTTTGGTTGAACACTTCAAGCAGAATGGAAATGTTAGTTTTCCATAAGATCATGATGCAACTATTTTAGAAGTTGACATTTATTAAGATAAAGAGATTGGAAATAGAGGCACACGGAATTTGAATGATATTTTTAATAAATGCGATGTTGCCATTTTGGAACCTACAAGTTTTCAAGAAGCAACAAAATTTGTTGAATGGCAAGAAGCTATGAAAGAAGAAATGAGGATGATATCTAAGAATAACACTTGGGAATTGGTGGACAAAGAGTAATAAGATGATTGGAGTGAAATGGGTGTATAGAGTCAAATTAAACTTGGATGGCTCTATCAATAAACATAAGGCCGGACTTGTAGTAAAAGGGCATATCCAAGAGTTTGGTGTTGATTTTACAGAGACATTTGCACCTGTGGCCAGATTTGATACCATCAGATTGTTGATTGCTTTGGCTACACATAAGTCTTGAAAAATATACCAATTAGATGTAAAATCAAACTTCTTGAATGGATATCTACAAGAGGAGATTTTTATTGAACAACCTGAAGGATTTGTGGAGGAAGATTGTAATGATAAGGTGTATCTTCTCAAAAAGGCGTTGTATGGTTTAAAGCAAGCTTCTAAAGCCTGGTACAGATAACCTATGAGTATTTAACAAGGCTGAGATTTGTCAAAAGCTGCGTTGAAGCAACTCTTCATGTGAAAGAAACAAAAGGTTACATAATATTTGTTTCTTTGTATGTTGATGATTTGTTGGTTATTGGTAGCAATCGATTGTTGATTCATCAATTCAAGGAGGAGATGAAAAAAGTTTTGAGATGAATGATTTGGGGAAAATGTCATATTTTCTTGGCATGGAAATTCTACAGCTTCAACAAGGAACTTTCATATGTCAAAGGAAATATCCAATTGAATTTCTAAGGAAATTTAAAATGGAGAAGTGCAAGGTGAAAAGCTCAACAAAAATGATCAAGTAAAAAAGACTGATGCAGGTCAATACAGGAGTCTTATTGGGTGCTTGCTATATTTGTCTGCGACCAGACCTGATATTATGTATGAAACAAGCTTACTTTCTAGGTTTATGCACAGTTGTTAACTTTAATCAAAATCTCTTTCTTTTCACTTTCATCTGAATTAGTTACTTTCATTCCTTCGGGTAGTATCTCAAAGTCTTCATAAACGTCCGTGCTTCTTCATCATTTGGTGAACTTGACTGTGTCTAAACTGACAACAACGACAGGTCGAAAACTACAAATTATATTGCTAAGAAATACCCCCTTCTTTTCCTAGAATGTTTTGGAATTGGATCAAAGTCCTAAAGTTAGAATCTCTTACCATCAATTTAAATAATTTTCTCCTGTTTTCCTCTCACTACATTTATAAGGTTTGCTTTTTATTACAGTAAGCTTTGTTTCAAGTTTTTTAAGACAAATCTTAAGCTAAAAACTAGACATTAATGAAGATGATTACTCCAAGTTTTGCAATCCATTCATTAAATTTTCTAAGTCTTTTCAAGTTCAAACTTTGTTGTAGTCCTAAATATTAGACAGAAACTGTCTGTAAGTGCTAAATTTTATTGGAGGCTGCATCAAAAAACATGCCCAACATAAGAAGAAGAAGAAGAAGAAGAAGAATCAAACATGTTGAGTAAGTTGGCTTAACGTGTCACGTCAGCATTTAATGGTTGTTAACGGTGAGGGACTGATTTGTTATAAATCGATAACATTATTGACAAATTTGTTACTTTTGAAACTTTAGTGTGAAAACAAAAACTTACTCAAACATTAGTGATCATTTGTGTAGTTTAACCTTTATTTTATTATCTAGTCAACTTTAAAAAATATTTTAGTCCTTATAATTTTATTTTTCTTTAGATTTAATATTAATAATAAAAAATTAAAGCAAAGTCGCCTGCATATACTAGCAATTTTACCAGAAATTGTTTTCATTTGTCGATGAGTTTGGTGGCACGATAATGTTCGCCCTATTTTTAAAAATATATTTTTGGAATAATATTTTCCTATTCTTTCCAAATACTATATTTAATTAATTTAGTCCTAATTTAATTAGGATAATTAGTTTATAATTATATAAATTAGTTTTGATTCAATTAAGTTAATAACCATCCTAATTGGATACTTTAATTTATTATCCTAATTAAATATTAATTTATAATTATTCATAGTTAAATATTTTTATTAAATTAAATATTATTTAATTTCCAATTAATTTCATATTTATTAAATTAATATAGAATTTAAAATAATATTAGTTATATCATTCCATTAAAATTCTTATTAATGTGAAATTATTCCAATTAGTAGTTTTAATTAAACTTATTTTCCTCTAAAAAAGTATTAAATTTTAGTAAAGAAGGAATAGGAAATAAATTAAGAAGAGATAAGCATCTATACATGCATAAAATAAATCGTTTTTTTTTATTTCCGGCTTTTGAAGGCCCAACTTATTTTATTTTTTAAATTAATATATAAATTTAATTTTATTGGTTGTATCATTTCGTACGAATATAAATTTCTTCTAATTATTATTTTTATTAAATTAAAATACTCTCAACGTAATGAACTATTTGTGTAAAAATTGATGTACGATATATAAATATATTTGAAATTTACTTCCATCCCAAGTCTTCCTCATGGAGTATATGTGCTATTAATTAGGGTTAAAGCTTCACGGGATTGGATACCTTATGGGAAAATTTTATAGTAAAAGTTGTTCTGTTTTGGGCTATGAAACTCCCAATATTCATCGCTTTTTCACTTTTGGTCTTGAATTAGGTCGGGGAAGTTCTGGGATTACTTACCTTTGCACCGAGATTGCCACCGGCATCAAGTTCGCGTGTAAGTCGATACCCAAAGAGAAACTCAAACTCAATTCGCAAGTTGAGGAAATTATGAGGGAGATTAAAGTGCTGCAACATTTGTCTGGTCAGAGAAATATCGTGAGAATCAGAGGGGTTTACGAGGATCCCTTGTGTGTTCATATCGTAACGGATTTGTGTCGTGGAGGCGAACTGTTTGATCTGATTATCAAGAAACAGTGGTTCAGTGAAACAGAGATCATTGAACTGATAAAGATTATTGTTGGGATTGTGAAGACTTGCCATTCTCGTGGGGTTATGTACAGAGATTTGAAGCCTGAAAATCTTGTGTTTGTTAACAAAGATGATGTTTCCTCTCTTAAAGCTATTGATTTTGGACACGCTGTCTTCTTTAAACCAGGTATGTATAATGCATGTATGTTATTCGAGTTGTTATTTTTACTTGCGTTACAAGTTACTTTTCGTCCGGTGTTATAGGTCAATTTTTCAATGAGGCAAGAGGAAGTCTGTACTATATAGCTCCGGAGATGCTTCTTAATAATGATTACGGACCCAAAGTCGATATTTGGTCTGCCGGAGTTATACTGTATATACTGCTTAGTGGTGGCAATATACCGTTTAAAGCAGGTAAAATATTGTCAATTATCTGCTACTGTTGTTGTGATTGTGAATATAGTACCAAAGCATTAATTTTGGATTTTGCTTTTTTCTTTATGGACTTCAGAAACTGAAGACGAAATGAAGAATTTGGTTTTGAAAGGACAAATAGATTTCGTATCAGAACCTTGGCTTCGAAGATCGGACGATGCAAAAGACCTTGTTCGAAAGATGTTACGAACTCGACCATCTGAACGCTTGACCGCTAAACAAGTGCTGAGTACGTATGTGTTTTGAGTTATGATTTTCATAGCTGACTTTGTTTAACGACTTGATTTCAAGTGAAAGTGCAGATCAACGTTTAACAATATCGTTTGCTTTTGATTTGTTTCAGGTCATCCATGGATCTGCCAGAATCAGTCCCCGGATAAGGCTCTACTCCTTAGACTGAGAGATGTTTCCGGCAGCGAAGCTAGGGCCGAACATATACGAATGCGGAGACACCGGAGTCTGGATACTTGACAGACATCAAGAATAGAAGATGATGAAAGAATATGAACATATGTCTTAGTTGAGTTTCAATGTAGCCTTGTAGAACATGTTTCTGAAACCTCGAAAATCCTTTTAGGACAATGAGGTTTAGTTTTACTCGAATTAATTTCTATATCAGTTTTACTGTTTATATCTAAAGTTTGTAATTATCTTTATAATATAATGAGATTTATTCGATCGATTTTGACATTTTCTTCGCGTTTTTTAATATATAGTTAGTGTTTGATCTACATTAATATATTTTTTTATTTTTTTATTTAATATTATTTCTTTTTCTAAAATCAATTCTATTTGTTTGTGTAACATCCTATTTAGTCAGTTTTAACATTTACCGGGATCACAAGACAAAAACAGAGTCAACAAAGAGGCAAGTAATCGGTTTTCCACTGATATTTTCCCTTTCCGCCATTGAAACAGCTGAAAACAGAAGCCAGATATGGCAACCAAGACGAGATTGGCTTCGGTTGCCGCGTTGTGGATTCTAGTTCTTTTTGGAACCTTAGTTTTGATTCAGGTACCCTTTTCTCTCCTCTTTATTTCCTCACCCTGGAAGAAAAAGAAGTGAAAAAATACCCCCCTTCTTTTTGGTGTTTTTAGAATCGATTGAGCGACGCTGGAGTTTCAGAACCCAAGCATAATCAGGTTTGCCAATTGATTTGTGTAATTCGTCCTTTTGAATCTGTGAATCTATAGCGTATGCTAATTGAATTGAATTTGGGTTTTTTTGCCCCCTTTTTATGTAATTTTAGGGCTTTGAGGACGATTCAGAAGAAATTACACATAAAGTGTACTTTGATGTCCATATTGATGGAAAATCTGCTGGTGTGCTTTTGTTTAATTTTCTGTAAAATTGGGATTTAATGTGCTAGTATACTTGAAAGGGAAAATCGTCATTTAATTGATAGCTGAAATTATAAATTTAGTCATTTTTGTTGTATTATACAACATGAAATCATTGGTTGGAAAACTTATATGTCAGATTTCAGTTTCTATCAGTTTTAGTTTAGATGACGGGTTTCGGTTTCTCTCAGTTTTAGTTTAGATGTCGGATTTTGGTTTCTCTCAGTTTTAGTCTTTCTTGATTCTGTTATTGCTTTAGAAGGTTCATTAGATACACTTATAGAAGTATTATGTTCTTTGATTTTTGCTTTCAGGTCGAATAGTCATGGGCCTATTCGGCAAAACCGTTCCTAAAACAGCAGGTGAATAGCTCAGAGGTTTTGCAGTTCTTTGACCATCTTTCCAGGAAAAGATTGTGCAATTACTAGTCGGTTGTTACAAATCATAATTTTTTTTTTCTTTTTGCATAGAACTTCCGGGCCCTTTGCACAGGTAGACAAGTAACGTTTTTTCCCTTCTTATATTGGAACTTTGTATGTTTTTAGTGCTCGAATTCCCTATATGTGCACTAAGTAATGTGATTTATTTCTCGTTAGCACCAAGCAGGTGGTACAATATCTTGGTAAGATTGCAATGGTTTAGTGAAGTTTTCTGTAATAATGTGATAATCTTTTTATTATGGGTGTATTTTTCACTCATAAAAGCCACTTATCTTCGCATAATTAGCATGTAAGCTTAAAAACGACTCTGTTCCTGGAAGTTTTTGGCAATGGCTGGGCTGCCTTTTCCTCAATCTCAGTATGCCTCATCGTATTCTGGACCTTAGCATTCTATGTATCTTATCTGTCTATTTGCATCTTTGGTTGTTTAGGTGGTTAATGAAAAATATAATCTTTGTTTATTAGGACTAAAACCTTTATTTGAGAGTACTATAGTGTTGTTTAGGAGGCCTTAACACTATAAAAAAATGTATGAATACCAATTAAGAGTTTTGTTGCAAGGTTTTGATGTATTGGATGATAATATCTAGATGTATATAAACGTGTGGTATTTGAAATTTTAGTTTGTGAAAGAAAGGTGACTGCCTAATCGATTGAACAGTGGATCTATGCTCAGTTCTGATGCTCGAGTTTTTCTATTTAGCTCTGATTAGTTAACCAGGAAAACTCACTACTTTTAGCTGCCTACATATATTTGGTTCCATAGAATTATTCCCAGCTTTATGATCCAGGGTGGTGACTTTACTCATGGCGATGGACGAGGTGGAGAGTCTATATATGGTGAAAAGTTTGCTGATGAGAATTTCAAGCTTAAGCATAATGGGCCTGGTGAGTTGTGTGATTCTTATATGGCTTATATATTTCCTTGAACACGTTCTTTCTATAAAGGGTTTTTAACTCATTGGTGAAATAGTAAACTCGATCTGCAAATCCAGAAAGGCCTATAAGAAGTATATTACTAATTATTTACCCTTTCAATCTTTTTCATTATTAGCAGGACGGCTTTCGATGGCCAATGCTGGGAAAAACACCAATGGATCACAATTCTTCATCACAACTGTAACAACCAGCTGGTATTTGATTTGGCTCCAACCTTTTATCTATGTTACTTGTAAAACTACACGTATCCATCATATATGTTCGATACATATTCAGATATTGAGATGAGAGTCTGATCCTCCAAATATATGGAAATATTTAGAGCAAATTGAGCTACCAACCTTATACACAAATTACTACCGGGCATTTTCCCTAATTTTCTTCCCTGTGAAAGATGTGGAAATGAGGAACATCAGTTTTCTTATCTCGTGACGCATGCACTTTTCATAGTTAAAAACTTCAAATTGTTGAGGGGTCACAAGTTTGCATGGTGGTCGGTTCCCTTTGTTAAAAACTGCGTTCCTGTAATAGTTTGAGATTTTCTGAAGATAACACGCATGTGTGCTATTGACTTTTCGTTTAAAGGTTGGATGGGCATCATGTCGTATTTGGCAAGGTGATTGCCGGAATGGATGTCGTCTTCAAGATAGAAGCCGAAGGAAACAACAGTGGTGTGCCGAAATCTAAAGTTGTCATTGTAGATAGCGGCGAGATGCCTTTATAATTTACACACTTTGTTTCAATTGAATGTAAACGTTTAGAGTCTGTTATAATTGATAATTCCTTTATAGAGCATCAGTTACTTTCTTACTGACATATCCGAGAAATGATTTAACGATCGGTTTCGAACATCGTTTCCGTGTTGATTTGGTGTTATTCCTAAAGCTATGTTCTTTTTTTAGTATCTCTCTCGAGGTTTTATCGCCGACCCTCAAGCACCCTTTGGTACTCATGCAGGCAGAGGGTATACTCATGCAGCTGATAAAGCCTTGAGCGACCGTGGTCTGCAGTTACGACCGAACTATACAATAACATATCAAAACAACTCAAAAGCATAAATCCCAACAATTATCTCAAACATTTCCAAAAGGAATTATGTCAGATAAACCAAGCAGCAAACAAGACACCTAAAAATATCCCTTTTTATTACAGTAATATTTTTTTTATTAATAATAACGAAAGTTTAGTCGTCCCTGTTGTGTCCGTTGCTGTGTTGTTGCTGAAAGGTAGAGGAGAAATTGGAAGACATATCAGAGTAAAGAGAGACAACCTTGGAAATGTTGCCATTGAGTTCCTGAATGAGTGCAACGTTTTTGACCATGTTGTCTGGGATCTTGGACTGGTGATTCTGGTTGACCTGTTGGATCAACGCCCGGTTCCTGTCTAAAACCGACTGCACCTGCTTGAAATTCTTGTCCAGCGTTGCCCATACCTCGGGGTTTCCCTCTACATCATCGGAATCATGGTTCCGATGATGCTTCAGTTTCTTGTTGGCGTTGTTTCTCGGGTTGTTGGCCATGGTTTTTTTAAATCTTGTAGAAAAGGGAGTTGTTTGTCACACTTGCATGTAAGAAAGAAAGGCTACAACGACGATGAAAGCATGTTCTAGGGTTTGAAGAAATGCTCATGGAGAAGGGGGAGGGGAGCTTTGGGGTATAAATTGTTGAAGGATTAGGATCGGGTCACCATGGATAAAAGCCGAAAAGGGTTGCAACTTTGAAGAAAGCTTCTTTTCACGCGCCACCAAAAGCAGTGTGACGAAAACATATATATTCTCGGACAGCTAGTTGACTGCAATATTTGTCATGTGCGTTAATAGTTAATATCGATAATGGTTCTAATCTTAAATCGATATCAAGTATTTTATTAATTTTTACTCTCTTTTTTTATAAATATACAAAGAACACTTCATATAATCCAATTCGTGAATTTTTCTGGTATAATAAATAATAATCCTATAAATAATAGTTTAACTTATCATAAAAGCATTCATTAAATAATTTTTATCGTGAATATTTTTTTCAGCATTATCGTGAATTTTTTTCAGATTTGGCTCAAAAGATGCTGATGGGTGAAAACCACGTGGCTCGAATGAGAGTGGTTATGAAAGCTCATTAGAAATATCTTAGGCTGTACCCTTTTTGTTCAAAAAAGGGATAGAAGAAAGTAAAGCAAAATATCTTGGAATATAATAAATATCTAAAAGTTAAGTAGTGCACCTTCCCTTTTTTACTGGATTCTCGTCACTTTTCTTTATTTGATTTTATTTTAAGCTACACTTTTTAGCACTTTTTCTAAATAAAATGACAAAAAGAAAAGGAAAATAATAACAAATTTTATGGTTCGTGTGTTTTTAAAGATAAGAAAAACTTTTAATTGTTGGGTATTTAGATCCATTGGTATATGATCCTTTTAGTTTAATTAAGATTTTATGAATACAATAATATTAAATATTTTATGAGAAACTCTGTTGTCATTTTCTATGCGATCCAACAAATTCAATCTCTACTTAGATCATCAAATGAATAGACGACAAACACCTATAATTAATACAAAAGAAATACTATACACGTTACAAAAATATTTTCCCCTAAAAATAATATAGAAAGAAAAATATGAGTGAATGTAATAGTTTTGATAGAATTTAGAATCTTAAAAAAAATAAAATAAAAATGAAGGCTTTGAGTTGCTTTTTACCTATATCTATGTTCTATTTAAAACTTCACTGAATTCGGTGTTATTGTTAATAGAACACCAATTCAGTTAGAAACATATTACTTTAATTGTGTTTCTATTTTTTATATAATATTTAAATAAGAAAATAAGTTATAAATTTGTATATAGGTTATTTCATTTCGCTCACAATATGTGAATGATAAAATCTATTATATGTTAAAATTTTATTTAAGATAGCGTCATGAGTGAATCGGACATCAACTTTTTCTTAAATGACAACAAACATTATTCTTTTTATATCATTAAAATTTAGGGTTTATTTGTTTATAAAATTGTAGCAATACACTTTTGTTTTACTTCACTGTAAGCACTGGTATGTTTTACAATTCAAACCACATAATGGCACGTAGATATATTTCTATTTTAATGACTTGACTTAGAAGACATCATTTTAATATGATTATAATGATATCGTTATTTTAAAAATCTATATAAACCTCGTTTTCTATTCTTCTCTTATAATTTCTTCATTTATTTTATTTTATTTTAACTTAAACTAAAATTCGATCATATTCTAATCGTATTAATTATAATTCGTCAACATCGACCATCATCATTAATTATCGTCGACCAAATAAAAATTCCATGATAAGTGCTTGTAATTGACACTTTTTGTTTGTCAATTCTCTTGCTTTATGAACTTTTCACTATTGATTTGGTTGCATTTTGTTTATTTTCCGTGCAGAGAACATGTTTACTGGAATTGGAAGCAAAATGACGCGTTCTGTAACTTGTTGTTGTTTAATAGATCATGGTCGGAGGCATGGGCATGACACTGGGCACGACATGATCTAACGTGGTAGCTTCCAGAAGATCTAGTCAACAACAGCGATTTCTAGAAGCAGTCCAGTCATCATTATCTAGAAGAAGATGGACAAAATCTTTAGGAATTTAAATTTTAAAACACTTGGGATTTATCTTTTAAGATTTAGGATTTTCATTTTGAATTTCCATGTTATCTATAGGAGAAAATCGTCTCAGTGACAAAAAATGCCTTATAATATACGATTTTAACCAACTTTTTTTGGATTTGCCAAAATGACCAACAAAATCGCAATGCGAAATAAAAATCGCAACGCGATCTCCAGAATCGCAAATCAGTTCCCAGAATCGCAACGCGATTATGAAGAATCGCAATGTGATAGTACAAATTCGCATTGCGATTTTCCATAATCGCAACGCGAATATGAAAATCACAACGCGAACATATAAATCGCAACGCGATTCTGACTATCGCAACGAGTATCCGTAAAATCGCAACGCGTATCCGTAAATTGCAACGACAATACGTAAAATCGCAACACGTATCCGTAAATCACAACGAGAATACGTAAATCGCAACGCGTATCTGTAAATCGCAACGAGAATACATAAATCGCAATACGTATCCGTAAATCGTAATGCGAATACGTAAATCGCAATGCGAATCTGTAAATCGCAATGAGATTCTGACTATCGCAATACTGAATTTCAAATTCGCAACTCGATTTCTGAATTCGCAACAGGTTTTCATTTCGCAACACAACTGTTTTGGGTATAACTACGCACCAGCAGCAACTCATAACCTAAATCCCTAAATCGCAACTCATTCCATCTCCATCTATCACTCTCTCCGGCGACATCCGTTCCTATATCCAACGACATCATTCCCCATCCGGCAACAAGTTTTAGTTTCGCAGCTCGTTTGTTTAGTAAATTAATTTACAATAATGTAATCATCTAATGTTGATCATGTTTGGATAGATTTTCATTTCGCGTTGCGATTCTCTCGTTGCGATTTTCATTTCGCGTTGCGATTCTCTCGTTGCGATTTTCATTTCGCGTTGCGATTCTCTCGTTGAGATAGTCATTTCCGCGTTGCGATTTTCATTCTCTCATTGCGATTTTCATTTCAACCAAAAGACAAAACAGTGTTGCAAATTTTAGTTTTAAGAATAAACTACTACTCTTTATGTTTATTGTTTTTGGTATATCTTCACAGTGTAGTTTTTGGTATATCTAACTTGGTATGTTTATTATTTTTGTAGAAATTTTTTTCGGCTTCATTGACATTAAGGAATAAAGTTAGCCTAGCCACTACAATTGCTTCGAAGCTTTCACCTGCACAAAGAAAATTGTTTGAGGAAACCTGCTTCGGGCCATGGCTGAGAGTACAGCATCCGGGTGGAGATGCTAATTTGACCCATTTGTGGCTTCAGACCATAACTAGCGATCTACCCGACAGTATACAACGTGGTGAGGAAGAGATATGGTTTCATTTTCCACCGGCGTATACTTGTTTTGGGCGGAAGGAGTTCTGCTTAATCACTGGTCTACGATTCGGACACGATGATGTAGGCCGGTACACTCGTCATATCACCCGCCCATCATGGTTATCCCGGGTTTTTCCTGATGAGTCAATAGAGAAGCTGAACTTACACGTCGAAGACCTGAAGAAATTGTTTAATAAGAAAGATGGTTTTACTCGGATGAATGATGTCGATGTTGTCCGAGTATGCCTTCTAGTACTTTTGTATGCCGGCTTTTTAGGCAGAGAGGCCAGACAACCTATTCCTCAGGAGCTAATATTATTGGTAGAGGACCTAAATGCATGGAATCTGTTTCCGCGGGGTTCGTATATATGGAAAGCTACCTAGACTAAGTTGTCGTCTGCCTTTGATGACCGCAAAAGTTTGCGTGGCGATGGGTCGAAATACACTTTGTCAGGCTTTGTTTGGGCCTTTAAGGTAAGAATTTCTATATAATGTTTTCAAAATTATAATTAATTATTTAACAATTACTAATGTTTGTTATTATATTGTTTGTAGATTTGGATATTCGAGGCTTTCCCCAGCATGCGGACATATGCATTAAAAACTTCAAATGATATTCCTAGGGCTATTTCCTGGAAGAGGAAACGTCTGTTGGATTGGGAAGACTTAATACCATATGCGACAATAAATAATGTAAGTTAACACAAATACTATCATATATAAACAAGTTATTAATAGTAGACGTTTAACTTTGTTTGAGTTTTTATATTTTTAGGAGGCTAACACTCCATTACAGAGACTGACACCCACGGAGGCTGAGCTTGCCACTGATTGCTGGCAAGCTAGTCAGCGTTTTTTTGATGGCACGAATGATGAGCAGCTTCCACTTCCTCCACTTCGAGAGCCATCACCTCACCCAGAGCCATCACCTGATCGACCCGACTATACACCTCTACAACGAGAGCCATCACATATCCCGTCACATCATCGAGCCTCTTCTCCACCATCACCTCATGATAGGCGACCGGCAAAGATGCCACGACTTCTATCTCCATGTTCTCCACCTCCACCTCCATGGGATGAGTCAAGGGAGTTACGTGATGAGGTCAATGCCTTGCGTGAGGAGATGGTACTCTACGCTATAACGATGGTGCATGGCATGTGGAGGTGTCTACTTTACGTGGTGAGGTTGCCGCTCTACGTGAGATGGTAGTATCGTTGCAGAATGAGGTTCATACTCTACGCAACGAGGTAAGTTTAAGATTTTCCATATTTAACTTGATGATAAATTTACTCGTAATTTCACTTAGATTAACCATTTCACTTAGATTGCTTAGTAAATTTATTCGGTTGCTGCCAATACTGCTAAACTATTTATTCTTTAACACTGTGAAGTTAGTATTTTTCTTTGTTTTCACTGTTTAAATATCATGTCTGTTTATTTACTGATTTTTGTATTTAATTATTTAGCGGCCCGATAAGGTGGATGCTTCTTGCACGATGGAGTTCACGCATCAGACGGCGTGCACGTGCTATTAAGTCTCCGTACACCCAATAGTGCGAAGACACCGCAAGAAGAAGCCCGAATCGTCTGTCATCCCTCAAGAGTCCACTCCTATCATTGAAGAGGCCCCTATCATTCCTCGAGA